TGTGTGTGTGTGTGTGTGTGCGTGCGTGCGTGCGTGCGTGTGTGTCTGAGTTTACGAGCCTGGACCTAGGAGGAGAATGGCGCGCCTCTCATATACCTTATGAGGAACTTCATCCTTAGGAGGAGCTCCTCCTAAGGATAATCTCACAATCACTCCAATTCGATCCTTGGGATGCTATTCTGATGTTTTCAGCAACTTCCTCGTAAGGAATTTCCAGTTCCCGCCTTTTCGTGTGCATTTTGTGTGCATTTTACACATCGGAGAGGGAAAGAGTATGTGTCCTGCTCTGCCTTACACTGTTGTTCCGGATGAAGCAAACAACTGCTGTATGTACGTATGTACGTGTGAGTGCGTGCGTGCGTGGCGGTGTGTGTAAGTGAGCATGTAGCGGTAGCGGATGTCTGGTCGCTGGTTGATAACGCACTGCATCGATTCGTACTGTGATCGTTGGCGTCGCGTTATGGAACTGGATGGCTGCGTGCGGGCGTGCGTGTCCGCGTTTGTGTGTGCCTGTGTGTGTGTAGTTAGAGCGGGTGTATAATTTGTGGCCTTAACTTAAGAGTGATCAACGTCCGTCAGACAGCATCATCATCATCATCGTCATCATCATCAGCAGCAGCAGCAGCATCCACAGCAGCAGCAACAACGACAGCAGCCGCAGCAGCAACAACAACAACAACAGCAACAACAACAGCAACAACAACAACAATAGCAACAACAACAACAACAACAACAACAACAACAGCAACAACAACAGCAACAACAACAGCAGCAGCAGCAGCAGCAGCAGCAGTGTTCGTCTATCCGCTGTGATGCCTCTGTCATTGTTGGCTAGTCTGCGTCACGCATATCGTGCACGCCTAGTTTTGTGTCTTACCGATCAAGCAGACACCACGACTTCATTGTTTGTAACCTGTTCGACAGTTTTCCTAACGAGAATATCGCATGTCGTGTTTGCGTAAACGATGTTTAATAAAACAGAATATCAAGCAACCTGTTCTTTGTCTGTTGGTGTGTATGTGTGTGTGTGTGAAATGGAGTACTTAACGAGTCTTCTCTCTCGGGGCGGACAGGGTTATAGGTGTTGAATGTAGGCGTTACCCAATATCTAGTAATAGCTTCAAATAGTTGCGTTGCAGGAACCTAATCAGGCTAATCTAAGCAGGCTAGAGATACAAGAGACAATAGCTGTCTAGACAGTGGCACGTGTTAAAGTTCATAGCCATGGCCTAGCTCTGATCGCACGTGTTAATACGGACCTATAGCTGTGTCGTCATCTAAGGATACTCCTAGGGAAATTTTTACCGATTTTTCATTTTCAATTTTATTCGATGGCTAACACTATGTGCCACCTGTGTACATGCTCATTTCTCCATATAACGGTACGTGTGAACTGTCAGAGCGTTTTGCTTGCCCGCGTACATGTGTAGTGAGCCGCGGCCGACGTCAGAAAAACGCTGATTTCTCCGTTCCAATTTCTGACTTAGTAGTCGATGTATAAATGGATATTTCTCTGTGATTACAACTCGGAATAATTTAATTTTAAACTCGTTTTAATGGTAACATATTGCTGTAATAAAGCGCGTCAGGGATTGTTATTAAGTGCCGTATTTTATGTCTCTTTATTCGCAAAAATTTAAAATTCAAACGTGCGACTTGAATTTTAGGCAGTTTTTTTAATTTGTCTCGGTAAATATGAAACTTAAAGAAAAATCCTGATGCGCTATTTTGGTACATATTGTGCTTAACATGTGGCGAAAATTTTGTAACTTCACTCTTTCTGGTAATTGAGAAATATCCAAAATATCATTTTTACATAAAAATTCAAAATTTTTGTGGTAACATAATTAGGTGCTGGAAATTTCATGAAATTTTTTGCCTTGAGCATAGAGATATATCTCCTCTATAAATAAAACAAGTGAACCTTCATCATATTTCCCTTCCGCTCTATAACTCGGCCCCTAATTGACCTAGCGCGATCAAACTTCGTACACTTACACATCTTGGGGAGAACACGGGGAATACATGTAGTTGGCGACAACTGCCCTTTCTAGCTATAAATATATTTATAATAATAATGTGATTATATAATATATATTAACAAGAGCTAATAAATACCTAGAGTGTGCAACAGGAAAACGGGAAAATAGTGCTGTTTCACGGCAATATTATTCTACTTTGTATGCGGTTCTAGACTCAGTTCATGGTATTGCGTTAAGCAGCATTCTTTGCTTTCTAAAATAAGACCAACCGCTTGTCTCTACGATACTCCTAGGCCGAGATATTGGAGCATAATCATGCCTCTCACAGGCCTCACGCCGCCTCGCATCCACAATATTCACTATCCTTCTCGCCTTTTGCGGGTCTGGCTATCGTTTTCCGTCGCCGCTTGGAGCGCTGATAATTGATGTCACATGCCCAAATTTGGTACTCTTACTACACCATATAGTAACTGAGCTGCGTTGTAGAGACTTAATTTAGAAAACATTGCCGGCTCTATCATGAAGGGCATTAGTCGTGCTAGGAAAGATAATGGGAGATAAGGGCATAGGCAATGCCCCCGAAAGTCACCGATGATAACCGAAACGCCGTTCATTCATAAAGTTATCGCGGTAAAAACCGAACTCTCACAAAGCAACTTTCCTAACCCGCAAAAAGCGAGAAGGATAGTGAATATTGTGGATGCGAGGCGCTGTGAGGCCTGTGGGAGGGGAAGTTTACGAGCCAATATCTCAGCCTAG